GCCCCGCCCTCCTCACCTCCTCCTCCTGCCCTCCTCACCTCCTCCTCCTGCCCCTCCTCCTCACCTCCTTCTCCTGCCCTTCTCACCTCTTCTTGCCCCTCCCTCCTCACCTCCTCCTCCTGCCCTCTACACCTCCTCCTCCTGCCCTCCTCACCTCCTCCTCCTCACCTCCTCCCCTCCTCCTCCTCACCTCCTCCTCCTGCCCTCCTCACCTCCTCCTGCCCTCCTCACCTCCTCCTCCTCACCTCTTCCTCCTCCTGCCCCGCCCTCCTCACCTCCTCCTCCTGCCCTCCTCACCTCCTCCTTCTCACCTCCTCCTCCTCATCTCCTCCTCCTGCCCGTCTCACCTCCTCCTGCCCGCCTCACCTCCTCCTCCTGCCCTCCTCACCTCCTCCTTCTCACCTCCTCCTCCTCACCTCCTCCTCCTGCCCGTCTCACCTCCTCCTGCCCTCCTCACCTCCTCCTCTTGCCCTCCACACCGTTGCCTCCCCTACAGGCCAAGGCCGCTGGCCACAGGCTCAGACTCCACAGAACAGATCACTCCTACACCAAAGGCCTCACCAGCCCCAGTTGCCCTCCCCCTCCCCCAGGTGTGGGTGGACCAGTGTCTCCGGGTGGTCTGTTTGTTCAGAGCCCTCGGACCGATAGCATCTGGGCTGCAGCCATCAGGAGATCTCCTAACCTGTCCTCTGATCCCCTCACATGCCCTTTCTAGCGGTCTCCTCAGCAGAGAGAAGCAGTCTCAACAGAAAAGCAGGTGTTTCTTGGCATCCTTAAAGTTGGGCCTCAAACAACACTATTACCCCGCCACTTTAGATTGGTTGCAGGGAGTCACCAAGCTCAGATTCATGCCAGAACAAATCTATGTAAGCATACATCCTGGCAGCCATGATTTATTGGAGTACTTCTCAAAAGATTAGTTATGTATTACTGCCTAATGGCTACTTCTGTTAGCATTATGACATGTTTTAATCATTCTCAAACTAGGTGGGCTTTCTTTGTTGTTCATCGTGATATTTAACTTTAGCTTTCTCTGTAAAATGGGACACTCCTTCTAAGGAAAGAGTAAGAGTGGAGTGACCAGCACACATGTCTCACAGGCTGCCAGATCTGATGCAAATTTCAGACTGTTTTTCAGTTTGTTATCTTAAAATAATTCTCCAAGGCTTGACTCTGATAGATTGCTTGCTGAAGTCTCTGCAAATTTCCAATTGCCTTCCAGATTTCTGTATTCAGATGAAGTTCAGATTGGCCCAGAAACAGTGATGACTACGCTTTACACTGCGAAGAAGTACGCCGTCCCAGCCTTGGAAGCGCACTGCGTGGAGTTTCTCACCAAGCATCTTAGGGCAGACAACGCCTTCATGTTGCTCACGCAGGTGAGTGGAGTTTCTCACCAAGCATCTTAGGGCAGACAACGCCTTCATGTTGCTCACGCGGCTCAGTGGAGACACCTAATGTGTGTGGAGCCATTCTTACAATATGCTCGGGAAAGCATGTCAGAACAGACGATTTTCAGTGGAAGTGCAAGTCAACGCAAGGCAGAGTTGTGGATACCCAGATAGTGGAGCTGGGGTGGGTTCCGGGTTCTTTTATAATGAGAGAGTTGTTCTGTGAAGTTTCCCACGTTTTCAGCCTTTTTTCATTCTTAGTTGAGAATGCTTACTGTAGGTTGCCGACTATGATCCTTTTTCATTTCTGGCTGTACAGTGCATACTGTAGATGTGTAAACTATGCTGATTTTTAACAAACTGGAAATACCCGTGGAGACACCATTTTTTAACACATTATTTAGCATTTGCTAACTGCCAGGATTTCATACTTGACTCAACTGTAGGATGCTGTACATATTGTTCTTAAATTCTGGTGTAGTGGGCACCTGCAGTACCAGCACCTGTCAGGCTGAGGGTCACCTGAGTCCGTTAAAGACCCGCGTGGGCAGCCACACAGGGAGACCTGTTTCAAGCAAAACAAATGTAATTCCCTTGAATTTTAGTATAGAAAATGATTGCTAAAGACTTCTAGTTCAAGTCTCATTTTACAGATGGGAAAATGAAAACCTAGGTTGATAATGAGCTGTCTAAACTCTCACAGCAGGATGAAACCAGGGCCCAGAGCTCACCTTCCTAGTTCAGTGTTCATGCAATCATATAGAAAATGTGAAAAAAAACAATCTTCTCTAACTGAATATTTGTAGTTATAAAGAAAAGAAGATACCTTGGACATTATTGCATAATTATATGTCAGACACTAAGCTAATAGTGTAGCAAAATGCATTGTCTGTGTATTCAGTCCTTAGGAACGTGTTATGAAGTGTAGGGAGCTGTTTAGAGTAAAAGGCAGGCTGGCTCACTATGACCGTGAAGACGTGGAAGCACAGACTCAGCTCCGTGGCTTGCGCCTGTAATTGCAGATGATTGGGAGGTGGGGGGGGGGGTCCCAGTTTGAGGCCAGACCTGGGGGGGGGGGGGGGGGAGTGGTGGTGGCATAAAAAGACTGCACAGGACGGCACCAGTCTTCGCAGCCACGTCGGGGCGCAGGAGTGGGTGGCACCCTGCTCAGGCCAGCCCAGCGTCACAAGTGAGACTCCAGATCTGAAAACAGCCCTTTGCAGAAGGGGCTGGTGGCCTGGCTTGGTTGTAGAGGGCCAGCCCAGCAACCTCAGGCCCTTGGTTCAATCCCCTTCACTAACAGAAGCCCAAGGATGGACCCGACGCCCATGAAGCAGTACTGAAGGGGTGGTGGCCTGGCTTGGTTGTAGAGGGCCAGCCCAGCAGCCCAGGCCCTTGCTTCAATCCCCTTCACTAACAGAAGCCCAAGGATGGGCCCGACGCCGGGGAGCACACCCATGAAGCAGTACTGAAGGGGTGGAGACTGGGGGACTGGGACTGCAGGCAGGGCAGTGCACCTGTCAACTTCACGTGCACACTGGATGATGTCTCTCCTACCTACAGTTTGTTGAAGATCAGACTCCAATGTGTAAGAAATAGTGCACACATGAATAACAGGATTAGTAATACTAGTGTGAATCTGGGATCTCAGTGAGGAATTTATATTTTTCCCTTTTTCATGTTCTAGTTGTAGAATGAGTTATAGATCTAATTATAAATAGGTGTTAGTATATTACAAACCAATTTATAGCGTCAACTCTGAAGTAACTATGAAAGTAAGATAACTGTGTCTTTATGTGTTTAGGCTCGATTATTTGATGAACCTCAGCTTGCTAGTCTCTGTCTAGACACCATAGACAAGAGCACGGTGGACGCACTCAGTGCAGAGGGGTTCACTGACATTGATATAGGTGAGTCCCAGGAGCTGAGCTCCCCACTGTAAGTACAGCCTGCTCTCCCTGCCCGCCCGTCGGAGACAAGGCATGTGTGTAAACAGGAGCTTCCAAGGGACAGAAGTCTACCTCCGAGAGTTAGTGCTTTCATTTACAGTCTATGGAGTGCTCACAGTGTGGGTGTTGTTGGAGAATCAAAGGAGAACATATATGAACAGACGATTTACAACGCTGACATTCCCCAGCATCAAACAAATAGACTGTGACCCCAGTGAATGAGATGTCAGCTACATGTGACTTTTCCCTTCTATAGGCCAGATAGAAAATGACTGCAGCTCCAGAAAAACATAATTACGTCTCGCTGGGGTAGTGTTAGGAAGGGTTTCTTTTTTTTTTTCTTTTTGTCAGTTGTGGGGCTTGAACTCTGGGCCTGGGGCTGTCCCTCAGCTCTTCAGCTCAAGGCCAGCGCCTACCACTTGAGCCACAGCACCACTTCCTGTTTTCTGGTCGTTTATTGGAGATGAAAGTCTCATGGACTTTTCTGCCTGGGCTGGCTTTGAACCATGGTTCTTAGATCTTTGCCTTCTGAGTAGCTAGCAGGTGTGAGTCACCAGTGCCTAGATACTGTTAGGAAAATCTTGATGGAGGATACTCTGATACCAGAGAATGGACAGTGTTTAGGCTGGTGTGTGGCCAGTGGTAGAATGCTTTCCCGTCATGCCTTGATTCCCAGCACGAGTGGGGAGAAGAGAACGGGTCAGTATTTGAACAGTGAAGGGGAGAGGGCAGTGACTGCCGCAAGGGGAAGGAGGGGCACCAGCGGTCTTGGCAGCTTGTGTGTCCCGTAGAAGGAGAGAACACCAGTCCAGGCCTCTGGTTCTTTTTTTTTTTTTTTTTCTGGTACCAGGGTTTGAACTCAGGGCTTTAAGCTCGTGGCTTTTTTGCTTGTGGCTGGTGTCTGCCACGTGGGCCACACATCCAGTTCTTTCTACCTGTTAACTGGAGATAAAGAGTCTCAAAGATTGGTCTACCTGGGCAGGCCTGGAGCCTCGATCCTCAGATCTCTGCCTCTGAGTAGCCAGGATTACAGGCAGGAGCCAACTAAGCCTGTGGTTTTAAATCCTTTTTTGGTCGGTCATGGGGCTTGAACTCTGGGCCTGGGCACCATCCCTGTGCTCTTCAGCTCAAGGCGAGCGCTCTATTGCTTGAGCCACAGTGCCACTTCTGGTTTTTGAGTGGTTTATTGGAGATAAGAGTTTCACGGACTTTTCTGCCCGGGCTGGCTTTGAATCGTGATCCTCAGATCTCAGCCTCCTAAGTAGCTAGGATGACAGGCGTGAGCCACCGTGCCCGGCAGTTTTAAATCTTTATAGTTCTTACCTTGTGGGCCTTAGACTTATGTAACCAGTTGTCGGTTAAGAACTTTTTTTTTTTTTTTTTTTGCCAGGGCAGCGTTTGAATCAGGTCCTTGTTATTGCTGAGCAGACACATGCCACCTGTAAGGCCCACCCTGAACTCTGATGCACCTGCTTGAGGCTTTTTACCATAACTGGGATGACAGGTGTGCTGCTATGCCCAGCTATGGGTTAAGAAAGGATCTTTTGAACTACTCTACCCAAGGTGGTCTTGAACCACTAACCTTCCATTCTTGGCCTTCCAACTAGCTAGGATGACAGGCCTGAGCCACTGGCATCCACTTACTTAACATTTTTATTTGGATCCTGTTCTTACATCCACCTACAGTCCAAATGTCTGGAATTACTGGCCTTCCATGTAGCTGAGATTACAGAGTAGAACTAAAATTAAAATCTAGTTAAGACCCAAGATCATATCGTGTCTATAAAGCATAGTCTTCCATGTTTTGGGACCCTTATTAGGCTCTGAGCTGTAATTTCTTACTGTGACACTCATTCTGTAAATGTACTGTGCTTGTGTTCACTTAGGTTATTAGCAAACAGTAGAAACATGTAGATTGAAAGTCGTTTTTTCCCACTGGATGGAAAATGCCCGTTAGATAGTAGTTTGCCGCTTTGTTCTGGCGCATCCACAGTGCCTGTGTTCATCTCAGCTGACCTGACCCACCCCCTCCCCCAGCTCTCCTGCAGAGGAGTTCTCCTCTGCCCGTTTCACTTCTGCTGGCCGTGCGGCTAGCTTCCTGTCCCCTCTGGCCTCCGCTCTGACTCCCCTGTAGTCTCCTCAGCACAGCCACTGTCCCTGTTGGACTCCGCTCTGCAGCTCTCCCCCCCTCGCCTGCCCAACTCTTTTCTGCAGCGCCACTCCTGTGTGCCGCACGGCTTTGGTGTTGGTGTGCACGTCTTCCTCCAGGAGCATTCTGGAAAGCTCTTTTGCTGGGTATCTATTGGGTTCCTCCCCCGTCCACATGTCTTGGCGGTTTGGGAGCTTGTGTGCGCGTTCCTGTGTGGCCTGTGCTGTGAGCACACGCTGACGCGCCTGCTTCGGTCCAGTGTCACGGGCAGTCAGGTAAGCTCTGAGGACGAGCGTGTCAGCGCACACCACCAGCTGAGTGAGTTGTAATCTTTGCCCTTGGCCACTTACTTGATTCATGTGGAGCCTTTTTGGTGGCTCATTTTATCATATTGCAGAGACTTGAGTTTGCGAAGTATGTGCCATGAACATATAAAAGTTTGCATAAGTGTATAAAGGGATTCTATACCTAAGCCTTTGGGTATAGCAAGTGATACGTTTGAATGTTAACCAGTACACTAATTTTTTTTTTTTTAAGAAAATGGTGTGGAGCTTAGTATTTTCCAGTATAACACCTATCCTGCTTTTCACTGACACTTAATACACACACGTCTATGAATGTTGCTTTAAGAGCAAAGTATTCCTAATTGATTTTTATTTTTTCCCTACAGACACACTGTGTGCAGTTCTAGAAAGAGACACACTCAGTATTCGAGAAAGCCGACTTTTTGGAGCTGTTGTGCGCTGGGCAGAAGCAGAATGTCAAAGACAGCAGTTGCCTGTGACTTTCGCCAACAAACAGAAAGTCCTAGGAAAAGCACTGTCCTTGATCCGTTTCCCTCTGATGACGATTGAGGAGTTTGCAGCGGGTGAGCCCCCTCCAGTCTGCGTTACGGGCGGAGGCTGAGACTGTCTGCAACTGTCCCTCCTGTATATCACCAGACTGAATCCATAATTTAACTTTTTTTTTTTTTTTTAGTATTTTTATGGCTAGTTTGTGACAGGTTTGACTGTAAATTCTCCCCTTGAAATTGATGTCATCAAACGTCAGGAATGTTGTTTTTCCCCCCCAAGAACCAATTTCTGGCTTTATTAAAAGCCATTATCAAAATAAGTCTTCAATTTTATTAATTTTCTGCATTTTTTCCTTTAAATTTGATTCCTTTTTGAATATAATTTGTGGGGATTGTTTGGTTAGTTCTTGTGACTTTTTGAGACTTAAGAATAACGTTTGTGTGTGTGTGTATGTATGCATATGTCTAGATACACACATATATTTTTCCTCAGAGCACTTCACACACATGGAAATATTTTGTTTTGGTTTTGGTTGCTGGTTTTTGTGTTTTGTTTTTTCTGTGCTTGGGTTTGAACCTAGGATTTTGCGCGTGGTAGGCAGGTGTCCTGATAGTACTTTCGTTGGGTGGTTTTTCTGGCTGGGATTTGATTCTGTGTCTGTCCCTCAGGCCCCGCTCAGTCTGGGATCCTGTCGGACCGGGAGGTGGTAACGCTCTTCCTCCACTTCACCGTGAACCCAAAGCCCCGCGTGGGCTACGTGGACCGCCCCCGCTGCTGCCTGCGTGGCAAGGAGTGCTGTGTCAGCAGGTTCCAGCAGGTGGAGAGCCGCTGGGGCTACAGCGGGACCAGCGACCGGATCAGGTGGCCTGCCGGGGGACCGTGTGTGGGAGGGGCGGGGGTGTGGGGGGGGGCCTGTGCAATTTAGACTTTAATCCCCCCTCGGTACTGGAGTTTGAACCAGAGGCTTTGCACTTGCTAGGCAGGCACTCTACCTCGTGAGCCGTGATCTCGCCGCCTCGCCTCAGACCACAAACCACCATGTCTGGCTTGTTTGTGAGACGGGGTCTCACTGACTAGTTTGCCTAACCTGGTTTTGAACCCCTGGGTTCACTTGGCTATCAGACTTTGGGTCACCGCCGCCGATGGCTTCAGGCATTATCTTTAGAGGCATAAGGCTAGTATTTAATTAATTTAATTTGACTAAGCCTAATGTGCTGTTTGTGTTTGAGTAGCTACTGCCCGGTGGGGGCTCAGCACGCTTTGGGGGTCTGGCGCTAGTACTCGCTTGCTCACTCGTGGCTGCTGCTCTACTACATGAGCTGCACCTTGAGTTAGCAGTTTGATGGCTAACTGGAGATGGAATCTTGTGGACGCTTAGACTGGCTTTGAGTGGCCAGATCCTCAGATCTCAGCCTCCTGAGTAGCTAGGATGACACGGATGAGCCACACCACCCAGGCTCAGTTTACATTTTCGAAAGCTCTGAATGGATTGAACCCCCCCCCAAAATTATGCATATAATCCTGCTGAGGAATTAATCTTCAGATTAAAGGTAAAAAGAATCATTACCAGTTTCCATATATCAAGCCTATATCAAACATTAGTTTAAAACTAGAAATGAAGAGTTTGGTTTGGGTTAAAATGCGTTTGTAGACTTTGCATTTGTAATGAGGCCAAAGCTGCACATGTAGGAAAAGATGGTATTTAACTGCTTTAAGTAAATAGAGTAGAAGTAAAGGACTTTTAGCATTCAGTACACGTAGCTAGAAAATGGATATCAAAAGAACTCTTAGGAGAGGAAGGAAGGAAGTGGATGGAGAAATTAGAAAACTATGGGGGCTGGGAAGGTGGCTCAGTGGTAGACTGCTTGCCTTGCATTCATGAGGCTCTGGGTTCAAATCCTCAGCACCACATAAGCAGAAAAAGCCAGAAGTGACGCTCTTTGAGTTGAAGAGCTGAGGGGCAGCCCCTAGGCCAAGTTCAGTGTAGTAATTGTAGCACTGAAGATCCTCAGCCTGGATGGTTAGCTAGCTTTACTCTGTCATTGGTCTTCAGATGCAACTTTAACAAGAAGCTTTTAAAATTCAACTAGTTTTGTAAATGATTCCTAAAAATAAAATTAAAATCCTGGCCATTAAACCCTGACTCTGCTAAAATCATGCATCAAAACTCTCCTCTGTGTGGAGCAGGAGGCCCGCCCTTTGTCGTGGCCGGACTTTGTCACTAGTATAGTTAGAAAAGCTGTATTCACATCCGGGTGTATGGCCTGGTCCCGCTCCCGGCTCCCGCTACCAGTGTTCGTAGTTGGCGCTCATCCCAGTGTTGCATTAGGCCAGCCAGGGCATGTAGAAATCACCCTGGCCATTATCTCCCTGCCAGCCTAACACGATGGGCCTCCACAGACAGTCTTCAGTCTTTTTTGGGGGTGGTCCCCCACTGGGTATTGAACCCAGGGCCTTGAGTATATTAAGCAAGCGATCTACCCCTTGAGCCATGTCCCCTAGTCTTGTTTTTTTTGGGGGGCGGGGAGTCCGGTTGTGGGGCCTGAACTCTGGGCCTGGGCGCTGTCCCTCAGTTCTTCAGCTCAAGGCTAGCGCTCTACCACTTGAACCACAGCGCCACTTCCGGTTTTTTTGCAGACTTTCCTGCCCAGGCTGGCTTTGAACCACGATCCTCAGATCTTAGCCTCCTGAGAGTAGCTAGGACTACAGGTGTGAGCCACCGGTGCCCAGCATAAGTTTTTTTTTTTTTTTTTTTTTTTTATATACAGACAAGGTGATGTTGCCAAGGGTACCTGATTTGTGGTATTTTTCCTTTTTGAGAGTAAACTTGGATGTTCCAGATAACTTGAAGAATTATAAACCTCCAGAATATAAATCTGTGTGGAGTTTTTAATATGTAGCTTCTCTCTCAGGTTCACAGTAAACAGAAGAATCTCTGTGGTCGGGTTTGGCTTGTATGGGTCGATTCATGGTCCCACGGATTACCAAGTGAACATACAGGTACAGATGAATTCAGCAGCAGGGAGATGTCCACATTCCAGTGATTGTCCAACTAACCAATTCGCAGCCTTGTACACTTAGAGATTTTAGTTTTGGCCTCAGAAAACTGGGTGCATGACAGAGCCCTGGCACCCCGGCCCCATCAGCACCCCTCAGTGTCCTTCGACCCTGACAACTCTGGGTATGTGACAGAGCCTTGGCACCCCGGCCCCATCAGCACCCCTCAGTGTCCTTCCACCCTGACAACTCTGGGTATGTGACAGAGCCCTGGCACCCCGGCCTCATCAGCACCTCAGCGCCCTGGCACCCCGGCCCCATCAGCACCTCAGCGCCCTGGCATCCCGGCCCCATCAGCACCTCAGCGCCCTTCCGCCCTGAAAACTCTGGGTGCATGACAGAGCCCTGGCACCCCGGCCCCATCAGCACCTCAGCGCCCTTCCACCCTGAAAACTCTGGGTGCATGACAGAGCCCTGGCACCCCGGCCCCATCAGCACCTCAGAGCCCTGGCACCCTGACAACTCTGGGTGCATGACAGAGCCCTGGCACCCCGGCCCATCAGCACCTCAGCGCCCTGGCACCCCGGGGCCCCATCAGCACTTCAGCGCCCTTCCGCCCGCTCTTCTCATTGCTTCCCACCACTTGGAGTGTCTGAGCAGACCCCCGGCCTGGCACTGAGTGTGCACAAGCTGGCAGGACCCGTTAGGGGTGATGGCTCTGGCGTTTTTCAGAGGTTTCCATCTCAGTACCTTTCCAGGAGATGAGTGAGCGAGCCTCGGTGTCTGTGTGTGTGCTTGCGTGCACACGTGTGCTTGCGTGTTGCCCTGCGGGTCGCTCAGGACTTGGGAGGTGTCCAGGCGTGCCCTCTGCTCCTCCACTATACTCTCGGGCCTCAGTACCACCTCCTAGGCTGCGCTGGGTTCACCTGCCAACATGATGCTGGCACCCACGGCATAACTTTGTGGGGGCCAGTTGAGACACAGGGAAGGTGCGTGGCAGTCTGCTGCCACAGTCTGTTTTATCATCTGAGTCTCACAGTAACCTTCCGACAAGGCAAAGTAAAGATTTGTTTCCCCAGAATTGAAAGATCTGCCACAGCCAGATCCTGTATCTCTTGACTGCTCCGGGCCACTTGCATTCATGTTTTAGTTTGGCTTTTACTGATTTGTGTATGTAAATATGCACACTTAACTGGCGCACCCATGGCTCCGTGTTCACAAATGCACCTGTGCTCAGAATGGAGACTGCAGCCCTAGGGGGCTTCCAGCCTGTGGCACTCAGGCTTCACCTGTGAGTTCATCTTGGTTTGATGTAATGCATGCAGAAAGGCAGGTTTGTCATCGGCCTCTGCATACTTGGCCTCCCCACAACATGGAAGCCCTCCTGGCACTTGCTAAGTGACATAGGAGCTTTTACTACTGTCCTCAGGACACTCCGAGGTCCCTCCCACGGATCAGCAGGTTTCCCTCGGTTGGGCCACTTAGCTTTCTGCACGGTTCCCTCGGTGCACCTGCTGGGTTCACTTGGCACCCTACCTGTCTGCTCATACCCGATGTTCCTGGCACAGAGTGGAACATTTGCTGACATGATGCTGCCTTGAAGATCTTTCCCATCTTAGAAAAACACTCTGATGTTGATGTACAGGGACTGTAAAGGGAGTTGTCCAGGGAGAGGACACAGCTAGCAAGGAGTAAAGTTTGTTCGTTTTCCTCAGACTTCTAAAATCCACATACCACGCTGCTTGTTTTTGACGGGAGCCCTCTCTCCTGACACAGTTCCCATCCTCACTGCGAGGTGGCAGCCATTGTGATGGCTTGCTTAAAGCCATCTTTGGGGATGAGAGATATGTAGAGAAAATACGCCAGAGAACCTATTAGTCTGTTGAGCAAACTGCTAGTGCTTTGTATTATTTTCTACAAAACTTTGATTAACCTATGTGTAACTTCTCTTAAAAATTACAGATCATTGAATATGAAAAGAAACAAACCCTGGGACAAAATGACACCGGATTTAGTTGTGATGGGACTGCTAACACCTTCAGGGTCATGTTCAAAGAACCTATAGAGATCCTGCCCAACGTGTGCTACACCGCCTGTGCAACACTCAAAGTAAGTGCCACTCGGAATGTTCCAGAAGCTGACAGGCACAGACAGAATAGCTGTTCTTTAAAATGGGGAGCCTATGTATTCTGCTGATTTTAGGTAGCATTGCTGCTCACCACCACTGTGCTAAGAAGAAAGGTCTTCCTCAGAAGTGTGTTGGAAAGTTGGGGTTGATAGAGCTGAGCTGAGGCATGCCACGGCTCTCCAGCGGTGGAGCTCTGCAGTCTGGTGTTTTTCTCTTGTCAATAAGCGTGTTAGCTAGATCTTCATTTATCGTAAATAAGTACTTAAGAGTTTTATAATCTCAGGAGACTGAGATTGGAGGACTGCGGTTCAAAGCCAGCCCAGGCAGGAACATCTGTGAGACTCTTAACTCCAATTAGCCACCCAAAAAGCCAGAGTGCTAGAGCACTAGCCTTGAGCAAAAGAGCTCAGGGACAGCACCCTGGTCCTGAGTTCGAGCACCTCAACTTGACCTAGTGAACATAGTAGACTAGCAGTTCAGTTGCTGCAACTCTACGTTCTCCTGTGTGAAATTGCTAAGGAGCCTTTCCTTCTTGTGTAGGGTCCAGACTCTCACTACGGCACAAAAGGATTGAAGAAAGTGGTGCACGAGACACCTGCTGCGAACAAGACTGTTTTCTTCTTCTTCAGTTCCCCTGGCAATAACAATGGGACCTCCATCGAAGATGGGCAGATACCAGAAATAATATTTTATACATAGTGCTAAGTGGTACCATACATGCTCATCTCAAAAGCATAAATAACCCACCACAAAAAAACTAGTATGAGTGTCATGACTATTTATAATTGTAGGATAAGAAACATTTTAGTTTCTTAGAGGAAGTAGAAAAGTGCTTATTTAAATCTCTGCATGATTTGAAAGCAGAATTTTCATTTTCTTATACCATAGGGGGAAAGAGAACTGGGGTTAATTGTATAAAGAAAAGCACAGATAGTTCAGCCTTATCTTGAATAATTTCATAGATCAGCTGACTCATGGTCTTTCAATGGTTTTGAAATTGAAAGATAATTTGGTTTATATAGCAGAGTTTTAAAAAAATTGTTTTAACTATTTTAAAGGTTAGCAAGATGGGTCAGTATTCCTACAGAATTCTTATTAACTAATTTCGGAAAGTTAAAATGGACTTTATTTTTTGGGTTTTGAAACACCTGGTTGTTAGCATTTGAAACAACCCTAAACATAGGTCTAATAAATGCCCAATGCATTAAAAATGTCCAGTGCGCTTACAGGTAAGGATGTTTCATAATAGCCTAGCGACGTATTATTACATAGCACAGTTTTGTAGATGTAAGTGAGTTTGTATAGTCACAATAATGTGATATAAAAGAGGACCTC